AACTGGTTGCCAAGCATCTGCGTTGTGATCATATGATTGGAGATAATGTAATAGTTCTAAGTTCTAATTTAGATTGTAGGTATGTTCCTCCCCCACCCCCAGACAATTGGTAATTCAAACCATTGTTAAGAAAATGTTTGTAATCAAGGACTATTGTTAAGTATTAGTTTTGGAATCCCTAGGGCAGTGATGGCTAACTTTTTCTGGACCGAGTGCCCAGTGAGCGTGTGCAAATAAGCACACGTGGATACACACACATGTCCCCAAACCCCCAAAATGCAATGCGTGCACACCAATGGTGGGTTGCCCCCGGTTCGCACCGGTTCTATAGAACCGGTAGTAAAACCGGCGGGAGGCTCTGCCCACTGACCTCGATGTCGCGTGAGCTTTACTCACGTGTGCATACAGCCCCGTTGCGAACCGGTAATAAAGGTAAGAACCCACCCCTGGTGCGCACCCCCTGCGCATGCACTCTGCACATGCACGCATGCCCCCCCGGACACGCCCTGCCCCACATGTGCACGACCTGCATGCCCCCCACATGCACGGCAGAGACCCGACCAGCTGGCCCATGGGAGGCATGCTGTCATGCGCGGCGGAGCTAAACTGGGGCGATGGCGCTGCTTGCCACCTGTGGCATGTGTGCCATAGGTTCACCATCACAGCCCTAGGGCAATGGGTTCTTCCAGGAGAATTGTGAAGTTGCTGGTATTGCTCCAATTATTAATGTGGAGATCAAATTCAGTACAAGTGTTCAAACAAGTACCGGTAATTGATGAAGGGTTAACCTATTGAGCTTAACAGGTAGTTTCAACAAATATCTGTAATATTGGGTGAAAATATTACATAAATGTGTAATAGAGGGTTTTCAGGCTTTCTCCTCTAAATAAACTTCCCTTAGGTCATTTCACACAAGATGCCAAATCTAATCTGAGTTTGCCATTGAGTGTGCAGCCAATTGTGTCTTCTAGCATCACAAACCAAATACCTCATAGTCATTATGTTTGTGAAGTATGCTTTTACCTCTTCATTCAAAACATCTTTGCTATGCTCCTGGAATATAATTAGGAAAAGTGGTCCTTAGTAATCTCTTTGGCACTATAAGTGTATAGTTTGAGAATTAAAACTGTACAATGGAATTAAATTAGTGTTTTTTCTAATGAAGGTCAGGTATTGAAAGAACAAAAGCATACAAAAAAGTGAAAGCAGATTCCAACAATGTAAGAAATGTATTTTATCACTTAAGCTTACATTTTCCAAATACCGACATACTACATTTACTTTAAGAAACGGGGGTTTTGTTTTGCTTCCCACCATCCTCTTTTTGTTGTGTAGATTGGGCAGCTGTTATTGTAAAGGTAGCTGTGTTGCCAGAATTCAATATCTAAGCAATCAGTAGGTTGGATCAAAAGCTGGCCGTTTGTTACACAAAACAAGTCAATAGTTGGAAAACATACTTTCTGTTATGATATTACATGCAAAGCATAATTGATGGGCCAAATTCCATGCATGTTTTTATATGGACACATGTTACATAAACACTGGCCTCTACTTAGGGGAGGGAGAGAATGAAGTGTTCTGCTATAATTCTCATAAAAATAATCTCCTTGGACTCCTTTTCATCTCTCATAAAGCAGCCAATTTAGCTGTCCAATAGGAGAGCCCATCATTCGGTAATTTAAGTTCATCTATTCCATTTTCTAATAGCTCATAAGAACCTTTCAACCTTTAGCAGAAAACCACCTCTCTGTTATTTCCATTTGTTGGATTTAGTTCTTTAGGCAACTACCAACTAGGAAACTGCTTCCCGTGTTAATCAGGGAGAACAGAAGAATAGGAGAAAAAGAGTCCTTCTTTGAGGGAGATGAGCAATTCAAAAATGTACCTTTTTAAAATTTTATTTATTTTTTTACATCAACAACTGCAGAAGAAATAGCTGCATTATTTATTTAATGTATTTATTTATATCCTGCCTTTATTATTTTTATAAATAACTCAAGGCAGTGAACCTAATTAAATACTCCTTCCTCCTTTTTTTCACCATAACAATAACCTTGTGAGATGGGTTGGGTTGAGAGGGAGCGATTGGCCCAAAGTCACCCAGCCGGCTTTCAGGACTAAGGTGGGACTAGAACTCACAGTCTTCTGGTTTCTAGGCCAGCACCTTAACCTGTCATGGACCCGTCGGAGTCTGAATCTACGGAGGAGGATGAGCTGGCGCTGGAGCCGGCTTCGTTGGCTTCAGAGGAATGTGGGGAGGAGCAGGACAAGGCAGCCTACGGCCCCTCAGGATTGGGATGGCTTTTAGCAGGGAGGAACCGGGGCAGGATGAGGGTAAGCAGTGGAAATGAGGAGAGATGAGATGAGATCAAGCAATGAGCAAGGACTGCCCCTTCCTGATCTCTGAGCACAGAGAGTAGAGAGAAGGTGGGAACAGTGCAGGCCGACCCAATGACTCGGGAAGAGAGCACCCTGTCCTGCTTCACAAGGCACACATGGGGACTGAGATTTAAGGAGACGCTGTGGGGAGGGGCATTTGTCAGGAAGAAACACTGAATTTATAGAGTTTGAAGACATTTGGAGTTTGCAGGACTGCTTGCTTCTTCCTTGCTTTGTGGACTCAGTGCCTTGTTCCTGACTTTGTGGACTCATTGTTTGTTCCTTGTTTCATGGACTCATTTCCCTGTTCTTTTGAATTGCTGGACTGGGCGCAGTCAGAGGCTGCCGTGTGTATGTGTGTGTGCTTTGCTCTGGGATTTGCGAAGAACGTGAGAATGTTTGGGGGAAAATTTGGAGCATTTAAGGGGACTTTGAATTCTCAGCTGGCTGTGTGACCTTAGTACCTTGTCCGGGGTATCACATAACCATTAGACCGAAACTGACTTTCTATTCAGACAGAATCCCAAGAAGATCTAAGGATTAATGTTTTGGTTTGCTTTTTCCCCTCCTCTCCAGTATCAATATCAATATCTCCAGAAACTTAGCTTTCTAATAAATGGACATTTTGTGACACTCACCATGACATCTGTTTTTGAACAGTGACCCCCAATGACAGTCTTTTGTGAGTGCGCCAATGAGAGGCCTCTGGCCCTAGCAGATTGCTTGCCCCTGTTGCACAGGATTCAAGAAGCTTTCATCAAGAGGTAGCTATCTGTAGTTCTGGTTGCAATCGTGGCAGTGATCCCATTTTTCAAATACAGCTTTCTTCAAGTAAAGGAATTTTAATTGCGGCTATCACAGCAAAAAGAAAAAGGGAGGTCTAAAGGAATGAAAGACTCTCAATTTACTGATGCATTAAGTATCCTATTACTGTGTGAGATAGGAAAGAAAAAGGGGATTGTCTGAAATTTTCTCCCCTCCTTTGCTGCAAAGGCTTTTTGCTTTTCATTAGTTTGGGTTTTCCCCTTCCCCGTGAAAACTATAATTAAGGTTGAGATTTCATGCTTTATTTTTTTTAGGCACTAATAACTCTCTGAAACCAATTTCTTATCACAGATTCTTAAAAGGTCCATACTTGGATTTTTCATATGCTCTGAAAATTATGAAATTATCTACTCTGGCATTATTATTATAATCCAGTAGAGAGTATAATTGGGGTTCTGAGAGCCAAATGCTCCTCTGGTGTAAAATGAAGACAAAGAAGAAGCTGAGCCTCTGGAGCTGCTTATATCAAATGACCCAGATATGCATCTTCTTCATTGCTTTTCCACAATCAATTGAGGGAGGATTGTTCAATTGAAGACGGCATATCTGTAGTTGGACGGTTTCATTTCAAACTGAGGGGATCTCACAAGTGTGTGTGCTCTGCTAATAAGCAAAACTTAAATAGGGAATTGGAAAGCTGTGGTGAAGGAAAGGTCTCAAGAGGCTTCCTTAACATATGCCCAATTTAGAAGTTCACCTTCGCTCCAAGTGCCTAGAAGTATGCACAAGGCAATACAGAATGAATTCCCATTCAACCCTACTTTCTCTGCCACTTCCTTCTTGCCAGTCTTCACAGCCCTTCAGGAATTGTGCATTGTGGAAGCTGCCTCTATTCTCTGTATTCAACATTCCTGTCATTATGTGAGAAATAAAGCTAGCAATTTGATTGCTGTTAGAAATGCCTTCAAGAATTTGGGGTGTGGGGCATGCCTTCTTTCTCAGATAAGTGCCTTCTTCTGCTTTAGTATATAGAATCTATAGATACTATAAATCAGTGATGACGAACTGATTCTCAGTGCTGAAAAGGTCACATGGAAATGTCGCACGCACGTGCCCTCATCAAGGCTGTGCTCTGGAAAAGCTGAACTTCCAGGTTCTGGCACATATGTAAACCTGACAATCAGCTGGCTGGCGTGCATGCGCATGCCAGTTTTCGGCACTGCTGCATGTGCAAAGGACAGCTGATTGTTGCATGTGCATGCGCACCAGAAAACCAGAAGACAAACAGGCAAGACCGCGTGTGCTGAGCGACATGGCTTTGTGTGCCACTTTGGGCACGCATGCCACAGGTTCGCCATTACGGCTATAAATCATAGGTCAGCAACACAGAGACTAAGGGCCATATACCATTTCCCCACCACTGTGTTTCAGTCCTCCAAAATTACAATAGAGGGTTGGGGGGACTCAAAATGCCAAAAATAAAGTTACCAGAAAAATCTTGGTATTAAAATGCTGTCTCTCTTAGATTGTCTTCCTTTTCAGACATAATTGCCTGCACATTCTCCCCCCCCCTCGCAAAGTTTTGTAATATTTCATAAGAGTCTTCTTGAGTTGCAAAGTGATTGTTCAAAAAAATGTTTTCTTGGGTTGCAGAGTTACTGCTTAAATATAGTAGTATTTTTTTCCTCTCCATATGATATAATATTGTACAACTTCAATGTTTTTAATAAAGTTCACAGGAAAAACCTGAAAGGAAGGGGTAAAAGAAATCCTTGCTCTATTCTGTGTAGAGTAGCTGTGATTATTTATTACCTGAAATCTCCTGTCTAATTAAATTTTGTGTATTTTATTTCTAGGTGCAAATATTGGAAGCTCTCCAACAGGCACAGATATTGCAGTCATTGGAGGTAAGAATACAATATTACTCGAACAAAGACTATATTTCATCAAACAGATTTTTGGAAGAAGTGAAACACGATTTTCGATCCTTAACCAAAATAAAAAGTATTCTCCACTGAATGAGAGTTTTTTTCCCTAAGAAAAATTAATAGTGTGTTGCTATGTAGTTCTATCAATAGAGTGGGGGATGAGTGCAGTCGCATGCCCCTGTCTATAACCTTATCACCGAACCCTGCTACTGTCCCCACATTATAGGAAAAAGGGTAAAATAGACACCTGGTTCCACAAAACTATCTCCTTGTATGATATTGGGAGCTTCCACATAAAGCAGAAAGCAGGTATGGAGGTGAAAGATAAATTCTCTAGTTTTCTGTTACATCCATATGAACATTTCCAGTGGTGAAATCCAAATTTTTTTACTACCAGTTCTGTGGGCATGGCTTGGTGGGCATGGTGTGGCATGGTGGGCGTGGCAGGGGAAGGATACTGCAAAATCTTCATTCCGTCCCCACTCCTGGGGGAAGGATATTGCAAAATCTTCATTCCCACCCCACTCTGAGGCCAGCCAGAGGTGGTATTTGCTGCTTCTCTGAACTATTCAAAATTTCCACCACCAGTTCTCCAAACTGCTCAAAATTTCGCTACCGGTTCTCCAGAACCGGTCAGAACCTGCTGGATTTTACCCCTGAACATTTCCCAATGTACAGGCCATAGTTAAATTCATGAAGACATGAAAAAGAGAGAGGAGCAATAATTAGGGTTTCAGACTACTACAGAGCAAATTGAGAAATGCCACTGTAATAAAGAAGCTCACTAAAACCCCAAGATACATTTTATATCCCAAAATATTGCCAAACTACCCCCTTGAAAAATGGAATGTTTTGGATGCCATATCTATCTGTCTGTCTGTCTCTTTGTTTGTCGGCCTGTCTGCCTGCCTGTCTATCATTTATCAGTAGAGATATTAGGAAACAAAGATCCTTTGAAATTACTTGTTGCAAGTAATGGAATGAACAAGAGAGAAAACATTGTTGGAAACATAATCAGAATGCTATATACAGCCCTTCTTCTCTTAAGCTCTCAGAAAGATACAGGTATTATGTCATGCTCTGTGTACGGAGCTTTGCATGACTTCCACAGGATATTTATTTTTACACAGTGTATATCCTGTGTGCTACTTTCCGTTACATTCACAACCAGGAGGCACAGTATAGAATAACATTTGGCTACCGGTGTTTGAAGAGTCCCTGTAAGGATGAAGTTGATCACATGATGAGTATCTTGTGATCAATGTAACCAAATGGTTGTTTGAATGTAGATGTAAGAGATCCTCAATGCACGCCATTTATTACAGGAAGGAACAATATGGGTCTTAATCAGGGGTGAAATCTAAAATTTGTTACTACCGGTTCTGTGGGCGTGGCTTGGTGGTGGTGGGGGGTAATGTAACTGGGTGGGCGTGGCCAACTTTTTTTTTTTAGTTTTAAAAGCATTTTTTCTACAACCTTAAGAGGTTGCAGAAAAAAATGCTTTTAGAAGCCTCTGACGATCAGGCAAGACGATCGCCAGAGGCTTTTCAAGGCATTTTTTTTCCTACAACCTCTTCGGCTGAAGGGGTTGCAGAAAAAAATGCTTTGAAAAGCCTCTGACGATCCCAGCTGAGCCGTGCGATCATCAGAGGCTTTTTTTTTTTTACTTTTAAAAGCATTTTTTCAGCCGAAGAAGTTGTAGAGAAAATGCATTTAAAAGTAAAAAAAAACATCCTCTGATGATCACGCGGCTCAGCTGGGCATGGGGGGGAGGGCGCAGGGATTTTTGCTACCGGTTCTCCGAACCACCCGTGTCCGTCGCTACCGGATCGGGCGATCCAGGCCAAACCGGGAGCATTTCACCCCTGGTCTTAATATACATGCTTCTGCCCTCACCAAGAGAATGAACAGCTACAAAGAGATTTGGAAAAGATTTTGATTATTACATCCCTGAATCTCACTAAGAAACACAGGTTATGTGAAAAAGGCATTTAATCAAGACAAGGGAGCTGGAGAAAACCAGCCAGTAGTGTAAAATAAATTAAGATTGCTGATTTTTTTTAAAAAAAAATGCTTGTAGCTGAAAAGCAAAGCCAATAAAAGAAGGACAAGGCAATGTAGACAAACAATTGGCTGGAGAAAAAGTTTTTTTTTAAAAAAGGCAAAATGGTCTAGAGAAGATGGAGGTAGCAATGAAAAAAAGCAATCATTTTGCTGAAAAGCATTCAGTCTAGTTTTATGAAAACCTCTGTGGTTCAGGAACAGGATCTTCTAATATCATCCAGTGTTTTCTTCCCCTCCCCTGAAATGTACCAATCCAGCCACTGTAGAATTGATTAACTTTTTTTCTGGAAGTGCTTCTTTGAGAAAAGGAAGTGGTTTGCCTTGTTCTGGTTGTTTTCTGGCTCTCAGATAGACATATTCTGAAGATATCCTCAGTGGTAATGAAGCTTCAGGGAAATGAAAGAAGAAAAAGCAAATAAAAATAGAGAACCGAAAAAGATTCCTATTTTTTTAATCCTAAAATAGTGGAAATCCAAGCATTTAAAAAAAAGATAGAAGAAACCTGTTTATACTTGTACCTTATATAAGGTAAAGGTTCCCCTTGCGCATATGTGCTAGTTGTTCCCGACTCTAGGGGGCAGTGCTCACCTCCGTTTCAGAGCCGAGGAGCCAGCGCTGTCCGAAGACATCTCCGTGGTCATGTGGCCGGCATGACTAAACGCCAAAAGGGCACGGAACACTGTTACCTTCCCACCAAAAGTGGTCCCTATTTTTCTACTTGTATTTTTTACGTGCTTTCGAACTGCTAGGTTGGCAGAAGCTGGGACAAGTAACGGGAGCTCACCCCGTTACACGGCACTAGGGATTCAAACTGCTGAACTGCCGACCTTTCGATCAACAAGCTCAGGATTTTAGCCACTGAGCCACCGCGTCCCTTTTTGTACCTTATATAATCTCAAAAAAGAAAGAGAACTGTTAATGGAAGAGTATTTTGTTTTTTTGGTTTTTTTAAATTTGATTTATATGCCGCCCTTCTCCGAAGACTCAGGGCGGCTTACAATGCGTTAAGCAATAGCCTTCATACTTTTGTATATTTATACAAAGTCAGCTTATTGCCCCCACAATCTGGGTCCTCATTTTACCTATCTTAGAAAGGATGGAAGGCTGAGTCAAGCTTGAGCCTGGTGAGATTGAGCGTTGGTCTTACCTGATACGCCACTTCTAGTCACTAGGAAACGCCGGTCACTAAAGGGTTACCACCAAGCCAGTAGCTCTAGGATCGAGTCCACCAACAAAAGAAGCCCCGCCTCTTCCTGTATCCAGTTTGAGACGAGGACGAAAGGTAGACTGTCGTGTCTGTAGAAAAATAAAGGAAAGGTAAAAAATCCCCAGGACCCACCCCCCTCTGTCAACAGCCAAAAGCCAGCACGAGAGGTGCCGGACCAATTGGGAGGGGGTGACCGGCGTTTCCTAGTGACTAGAAGTGGCGTATCAGGTAAGACCAACGCTCATTCTCAGTCACGGAGGAAACGCCGGTCACTAAAGGGATATACCAAAGCCCGTGTACCTATTGGGAGGGAGAAGGCCGGCGCCTCTCCTGGTCCTGGGAAGATACCCGCTGCAGCACACGTCTTCCAAAGGAGGCTTCCGCCGATGCATAAACATCCAACCGGTAATGCCGGATAAATGGAGATGGAGACATCCAAGTAGCGGCTCGGCAGACCTCCTCGAGTGAAGCTTGGGTAGACCAGGCAGCCGAAGTAGCCGCGCTCCTGGTAGAGTGGGCTATAACACCACGAGGCACTGGCAACGATTGAGCTTCGTAAGCTAAAGAAATGGAAGCCCTGAGCCATCGACCCAAGGTAGTAGAAGAAACCTTTGACCCCATGGACTGGGGTTGGAAAGACACAAAGAGAGCCTCGGAGCGACGAAAGGAAGAAGTCCTGGAGATATAAATCTTGAGAGCCCGACGAACATCAAGCTTGTGCCACACAGTCTCCAAGCGATGACGGGGGAAAGGACAGAAGTTGGGAAGAATGATCTCTTGAGAACGATGAAAAGTTGAATTGATCTTTGGAATAAAAGCTGGATCCAATCTCAAAATTACTCGATCAGGATGAATAATACAGAGATCCTGGCGAACTGAGAGGGCAGCCAACTCCGAGATCCTTCTAGCCGAGGTGATAGCCACTAGAAAGGCTGCCTTAAAAGACAAGAACTTCAGCGAGACTTCCCGGAGAGGTTCAAAAGGAGGACCAGTAAGAGCTAACAGAACCTTATTCAGGTCCCAGGTGGGAAACCGATGAACAGCCGGAGGACGTAGATTGGTTGCGCCTCTGAGGAATGAACAGATGAGAGGATGAGTGGACACCGACTCAGCGGTGCCGCAGGTGAGGATAGATGAGATGGCAGAGATTTGCCTCCGGAGGGTATTGGGAGAAAGCCCCGAAATGAATCCATCGTGAAGGAAGCCCAGGATGTCAAGAATGGAAGCAGCAGTAGGAAGGACCTTCTTACGGCGACACCAGGCAGAGAAGGCCATCCAAGTGGCATTGTAAATACGGTTCGTTGATTCTCGACGGGAGGCCTGGATCATAGAAATTATTTCCGAAGGCACCTTGGCTGAGGACAGGAGGAACCGCTCAACCTCCAGACGGTCAGCCGGAACCACTGAGGGTCTGGATGAGCTAGACGGCCCTGCCACAGAGATATTTTGTCGGCCGGGATCTGCCAATGGGGAGCAACTGAGAGAGCCATCAGATCCGCAAACCACGGTTGTCTGGGCCAGAAGGGAGCCAGAAGGATGAGCTCGGCTTGTTCCTGCAACAGCTTCCTGATGACCCTGGAGATGAGGGGAAGAGGTGGGAAAGCATAGAGAAGAAGACCACAAGGCCACGGGCTGATCAAGGCGTCCACAGCTTCGGCTCCCGGGACAGGAAATCTCGTGTAAAACCTCGGAAGCTGGTGGTTGGATT